TGGCAGTTTTCTCAGATTAAGAACAGGCTGAGATGCAGTCTCCAGAATTAATACTTTCCACAAATGTATAATGCTCAAATCATCCCAAGTCCTATTTCTCATATACCACAGTTTATCAAATACCACCACCACCACCAAAAAAAAAAAAAAAAAAAAAAAAAAAAAAAGCCTGATTAGTGGGATTCTGCAAAAAATATTATGTATAAGGCCAAAAGTATAATGCCTGCTTTTCTACCTATTAGTTATTCACAGTACTCTCATCTAGTTCCATCATGGAAGAGTATTGGTGAGCACCGTGGGCTGACACAGACCTTGTACCAGGGATTCAAAAGAAGTGAGTCTTTCATTTATAGCTAGTACAATGGCAGTGCTTTTTGTGGCCTGGTAGCTCACATGCACTGCTCACTGAACCATCCAAGTTTACACTCATCTAAAGAAAGCCACCTTTGGCCAAAAATCGGATGTGTTATTAATTGGCTGTCTCCTAATATGCATATTCAAATGTTCATCTTGGTAGCAGTCCATATCTGAAGCAGTACTGCCAACATCTATTAGACAACTCAATAGCATTATGTTCTTGCTATCCATATATTGTGATTTTTTTTACATGTCTCAGAAGCCCAACTTCTTGAGAACAAATATGTGATAATGTAATTATAGTTGGAAACATCTAAGCTGCTGTAGTGACTGAATTCTGCTCTGTCCCTGCCAGCCTCACCTCCTACCACTATGGATTTCCTGAAAGAAGGACATCAGTGTTTGGGGGGATTTTACAAATCTATTATCATACTAAATTCACCTGTGTTCTAGGGATGTAACAAAATCAAAACCCAACAAAAATAACCAAAAACACCAACAAAGAGGGAAGGCAGTTGCTAATGGCTAATAGCACAAAACAGCTTTTTCCTTACTTTACCAATACTGGTAAGATGGCGTGGCAGGATGGGGGACTGAAAACCAAGTGGCAAAGGGGAAGGAAACTTCCTCTTACAAACCAACCCAATCTCTGCTGCTCATGGGCTACAGCAGCAATTTGGCAAGATCTGCATGCAGTCTTTAATTCGGGTGACATACAGACCAGAGGCAACTTCTGTTGCTCAGAAGCTTCCAGTACAGGTTGAAATAGGGTTGCAGCCCCAAGATCTGTTGCTTGACCTTATTTCCACCCTGGCCAACTTGCTAAGTTCCTGACAAGGAAAAGATATTTGAGCAGAGTACAACCTTATTTAGCTGGGGTAGCATTTGGTTTTTTCATAGCCTTCATTACTGGAATATTATACACAGGGTTTTTCATTTCTTTGCCATGCAACTTATTCCCCTAAGATTAGTCTTTTTCTAGTCAAGCAGTTTAAACCTAATCACAGTTGTTATTTTAATCTGTGCTCACCATGAAGAATTCTCACAGAGCTATGTTGCTTGTTAGCAATTATGGTCTCCCAATGGAAGTTTGTGATTACAGCAAAAGCAACCTGTTTAATACTTGGCACCTCTTTAGTATACAGGCATTAAACCCAGGAGTATAGAAGCATGCTAATGCTGGAGATGAAAGCAGAGCAAATCTATTTAGAAAACTGTTTTGAAAACATGAAGTTGGTGATATTTTGTGGCTCTTCCCCTCTGTGTTTTTCTTTATGGTAATAAAGTGCTGTTGATCCTTCATTTATTTTATGATTGTCATGTCTGAAATGCAGTATATCCTAATGCTTTCATCAACATAGACTAAAGGTTTGGAACTGGTTCCAGCAGCATAGTGGCAAAATTCCCTTGAAAGTTAAGAGCAGGACCTGATCCTTGCATATTGTGACAAGCATCTTGTGCTTAAATCCTTTCTTCTGCTAATAGAACCAATAATTGCTGCCATTGGCTCAAGTGTCAAGAATTAAAAATTATGATCTACTGTCAAGGTCAATTACAAAGGCTGCAGGAGCAAATTTCTGCCTCTCACATTGTTTCTTCATCTGATTCTGCTATTAAGAATTATACAGAGTAATGCAGGTCAGCTGAATTAGAAAGAGCATTAGATGAGTATATGAGAAATACCACTGCAGGGGAATTACCCACCACTGACCCTTTTCTGTCCTATTTGAAGTTATTTCCGGACAAGACAAGGCAGAGAAATCTAAAGTAACACAGTGCTGTGGTTCAAGCTGATACAGAGATGTACATTATTAATGTAACTCCAACGATAAATGTTGGTGATTTACATGGACGGAAGTGGAATCTGTCTCACATCAAATGAGTTTATTTTGTTCAAACAAGCTAGAGAAATGGAGGAACCACTGACCAGTTAAGTATGCTGCCTCTTTCATTATTCTTCATTTGCAAATAATTACTGTAGGATCCTCAGCATAAGAAAAGCTGTTAAGAAAACCTTCATATCCACATAATAGTGAAGAACCTCCACTAGTGGCCTAGTGAAGGTCTATAAGAACAGGATCTGTGAGGCTGGGCCAGAGGTCTCTTTTAGCAGATAGCAATAAAACGTGACCTAACCCACTGGGGGCTGCAACTTCAGCAATAAAAGCTCAACAGCAGATGCTTTTACCATGTATAAACAGTAGTCCTCTGAAATGAAAAGAAGTCTTTGCCCCCAAGTCTTTTAGGGTCCCATTGTACAATTGGAAATGTAAAGGAAATGTAAAATTGATATGCACACCATGACATCGGCTTTAGCCTGCCCCGTCTCAGCCTGGGTGCTTTAAATCTGCCCAGGCTGTAAGGAACACTGAAGGAGCTCAGCGTTCAGGATTTGTGTCTGCTCTTTTTATTAGCCCGCCTAGAGTAAAGCAGGGGTTATCGGTCAGTGTGAGGTTCAGTGCCCAGTGACCCACCAGGTTAAAACTGTGGTAGTCACAAATCAGAAGCATAATGAAGTCTGAGAAGAGGTCTATGCTGATTTATTGGGACATCTGCCTGGCTATAGACAGCCCCTTCCTGCCCCTGCGTAGTGGGAGCTATTAGCATAATCCTCGCCACGAAACATATTATAGATTTAAAAGAGAGAAATACAGTGTTCAAAGACAACTGGCAAAAACCAGAAGGGTTCACAGGGCTCACTGTAAGTCTTGACTTTTTCTGCCAACATCCCATAAAATAATATTAAATATAAATATTACAAATAAATTACACTCATGATTTTTCCAAGAACCCCTTATTTTCAGACCACAACTGAATGTCCGTTCATAATAAATAAATTTGTTCTCTGCTATTTTTCAAAGACATTTTCATCTTTCAACTTCTTATTTTTAATTTCTATTTAACCACTACAATGTGTTTCACATATAATGTTATTACCTTCATTCTCACAAACAGAATTTCCCAGATACCTAGATTTTAAACACAGTTATATTTTAGTACCAGTTATTTTTAATACTAAAAAGAAAAAAAAAAAGAAAGCATGAATTACACAAACTTCCAAATATTTACTTTGAAAAAGACTAAACTCATATTGCAAATGCTGCAAATGCTGTAATACTACTTTACATCCTACAGGACAGGAAGTTTGTGAGATGCATACTAAGTAGCACTGTCATTTGGAAGCCTACTTTTTCTGTACATGAGAGGCATTCAACTGAAAAATCAGACAGATCATTATTTCTTCCCTTGATCATAACTAACTTGAATTGGGTTTTAATCTATAAAGATTAAATTAATCTATGAAGATTAATTTATATTTGACTATATATTAATAGAAATTGTCATCATTTCTATGTCTTTAGAAAAAAAAAGCCAAATTAAATATGCCAATTAAAAAATGTATGGATCGAGAATGCTGAATTTGTTTCATCTCTGCTATTGTTCCATGTGCTCTGTATTAAACATCATTCCAGACACAAATCTAGCACAAACTATAAAGATATGAGATACTGAGCATTTTATCATGAGATATTGAGTTCTTAAGTAAATATAAAGTACAAGAACATACTGCAAAGTGCTGTCATAGATCTTTTTATATCAGCTGTGAGAATAAAAACAACTCTATACAAATTAAAATTCTGGAAGATTGAATTTAAAAATGATAAAGCAATAACCAGTTCATTAAGGGAAAGAGACTTCTGAAGTTCAGGTAATTTCTCAGCTCTCTTTACCATCTTACATTAGAATAGCCCTGAGAAACAGTTAGAGAACAGTGTACTTAGAGAATCTAAAATACCTGTGCCAACTGCTGGAATGGCACTTGATACATTTTAAAAGGCGCACGACTGTTTGTCCTACCTAACAAGGCATCAGCAGCACCAAAACTACCGTAGTAAAGTGCTTAATAAAATTGCTGTTGTGCCTGCAATGAGGTAAGCACCTTTTTGCAAGAGAGCTGATGATCTACCCATGAGAGTAAATAACATTTGTTAGACTGGATGCATGCACAGTTTTGTGAGGTTTTATAATCATCCTACCAGAGGAACACAAATTTTCACACAAACTTCAGCTGGTGCTGCTACCACATTTGCTGTAGGACAGAATAGAAACGCCCACTAGTTTTACATCAGCGTATGGAAATTGCTTCTTTGTGAAATCACAGCTAAATCTGGACAACCTCCACTAAGCAACATGAACATAAAAGAAACAGAAAATTCTGGACTATCAAGAGTACTGCAAAATTATAAAACTTTGTATATTTGATTTTCAAAACTCTCAAATTCTCATGCTGTTCTACTGTGATTTTTTTGTTGGCTACATTGTATGTGCTATCTGGAGAAAATGCTTACACTCAAGAATACCCCACCATTTGATAAAGTCAGACCAATTAAAGGAAACTGAAGTACAGTTAGCATCCAGTGTTCCAAAAACAGAACATGAGGAAAACTGTGTATGTATTTATCTGCTCTGATTAGCAAAGTTGAACTGCTGTGTGATGCCTTTCTGAGTTGTTCCATTTAGGTAAGATTTGCTGAAGAGACATTAATAGTGCAGAAATTCAATATCCAACTATTTGTTTGAAATCAAGGACTATGGAGTGGAGTATTTCTTCCAACAATAAATATGTTTGTATATAGTACTTGCCTCCATAAATTCCAGCGTTGTTCCTCTAGCTGAGTCACTAGATGCTCTATGTATTTGTTTGAGTCCATATACTCCTAAATGAAAAAAAGATGAAAAGGTTACTTCTTCAATGTTCAAAGCATTTGTAAACGTTTGAGTAAAAAACAGTCAGCTTGTGGGGTCCATTTTCATTTTGGACCCAGTGTTATTCCATGTGTGCAAAAGTCCCAGTGATGAAAGATCTAGATTAAAATCAAATCTGTATTCATTCCAAATGAGTAGGTAGCAGCCCAATGCTGTTTTCGAAGATTATCTACGGGGAAGACAAACAGCAGTGAGGATATGCAACTAGCACAAATAAATTAGGGTACGTATAAATACAAATTCATGTTCTAAGCCCAGAATTATATATGTTGGATCCAAACAGAAAAATAACATTTCATCATCGTTTTGGTGCCATCATTATTTTGGTGTGAATTTTGTTTACTTCGGCTATATATCAAAGTGAACTGAATACTTACTGAATATTTGACTCAAATATTTATTTTGTGGCTAGCGTGAAAAATATTATACCATGTACTCTGTTTGAAAATAAAACTATAATTCAACTCCTGTATCGTTTTCCAGTTCAACTTTTGCAGATAGTTTAGCTTGCAATATCAGGCTAAATGAAAGTTACTGTATTTGTGTCTAGACTGAACTTCTGATAAATGATAATAATCAGATGAACAATTTGGACTTTTTAAAATTGAAGCCTGTTCTTTAAACTCAATGCAAAGAAATGATCAGCAGAGAAATATGTCAGTAACAGAAATATACCACTTTATCTCCAGGGGAAAGGCAAATTCAGTGTTTTTCATGGAAAATATTTCAGAATGAAGCAACAAAATAACACGTGATATAATATGATATATTCATATGACATTCGTACCAACACAGCATCACTATTATTCTGAAAACCTATCAGTAATAACATAACTCTCTTGAAATAGCTCACAAAAAATATATATGTTTAAAACCTCAGACTTCAGAAAATAACAAGGATTGAAGCACTATACAGGAAAGAATCCATCTTCCATTTCTGGAGACAAAAGTTTTGGTTTTATAGCTCCAATTTTTTTGGACTTATCTTAAGCTTTGGGCTTATCACAAAACCACTCTGTGGGGTTGCTGTTTGTATTAAGAGTTGTTTCAATACTATTACTATTTATTTGGTGTGCAAATATGTTTTTTTTATTGCAAAGTAGCTGGGTATTCTTAAGCATTTATCTTTATAATCAGGAATATGAGACAGCTACCCCAGGGACAGTACATCATCATGTCTTCTCAGGCTGAAGATAAATGTTAGCTGATTTTAATGACCATAATTTATACAGAAACACACATTTCCATTTTTCAGGACTGAAACTGTTCTAAGTGATTGGGTAACACTACCAGGCAGTCGTATAATATTTCTTGTAATCTCATAAAACTTTTAATACTGTGTATAAAGTAGTGTACAAAGTAATGAAATATCTGAGACATACAATCAATGAAAAATATTCCTGTGTACACAAGCCCACCAGGGCAAGCTGCAAGCAGATGAGTGGTGCTCAGAAGCACAATTCTGATGGAGAGCAGCCAAGGCACACTATCACAGGGCCTGTGAGCTCTCCCATGGGAGGTGGTCCCAGACAGGGCCTCCTCATACCTCTGGCAGCAGCACAGCACAGGGCAGGCCGTATCTTTTGACCAGTGGTGGGGAATCCACCGGCAGGGTGGCATGAGATTTCAGCTTGTGTTTCATAGAATCATAGAACTGTTTGAGTTGGAAGGGACCCCTAAAGGCCATCTGGTTCAACTCCCCTGCAATGAACAGGGCTGTCTACAGCTCCATCAGATGCATCAGGTGAAGGCACCTGGAGTGCCTTCAAGGACGGGGTGTCAACCACGTCTCTGGGCAACCTATTCCAGTGCCTCACCGCCCTCATCATAAAGATCTTTTACCTTATATCCAAGCTAAATCTCTCCTCTGTTAGTTTGAAACCATTTTTCCTGGTCCTATCACAACAAAGCCTGCTAAAGGGTCTGCCCCCAGGGACTGAAGGCTGACTCTGACTGAGAGATGTTCCCCAAAGGTTGTCACAGTGCACAGATCTGTGAAGAAAGCAAGAGTTAAGTCCCTGCTCCTGGGGACCTGTGCCAATGCACTTGCCATCATTTGTTACAGGCCTGTGTTGCTTGAAATCCTCTGAGAGTTGTACAGTTTTGCATCAGTCTCAAGGCTTGCCCCATAAATTTTAATCTGCTGTAGATAGATATATTTTTAGATGGTATTTGCAGAAACATTAAGTACTGTAAACCTTGAGAAATGCCATGAGCTTCTTAACACAGTTTTTATACTGGTGATGTTAAGACTAGAAACTGGTTTCAGCATACGATTGGCCTCTCCTGTTAATCAACTGGGTTGTGTTTTACTCAGAGCATACAATGGGAACTAGGCAGCAAGCTGCTTCTGAGCCACTGCAAGTAAACTCATTCTGCAACACACACTGCAGTTCAGAAAAATGGTGCTGTACTGAAATAGTCTCAAATCCTTTAAAACAAGCTGTCTTTTTTTTTTTTTTAACATTTTTTACTACATTTAATCTGGTATAAATTATTATTAATAACGTTATGTCTTTTTAATGTAATATTAAACAATATTCCTGACTTATTCATCAGTGCACTTTGCCCCATAGGCAAAGATAAGATCAGCAGTTTTATTCTGCATAATTCTGCCATGATAATATAAAAAACTCATTCTGAAGCAATTTTCTGAAAAATATGGCCAAAAAAATGAAGACAATTGGAAAAAAAAAGAAAAGCTATGCAGTCATACTGTGTGATTCCTGCCTTCATGTCAGGTTTTTCCTGTGGCGAATCAGAAATATTACTCCATTTCTCTTTGAAGACCTGCAGCTCATGAGTACATAAAGCTGACAGTGTGCAAAAGTGTTATAAAAAAAAAATCAGCTGTGATTTGATATAAATACTGTGATTGGAAGTGCTTCCTTTCTCCTATGCTTCTCTGGCACATTAACGTGCCAGCCATGTCCCAAGCAAGCCATCTGCTCAAGGCAAGGCCACTTTTCTTAAGTCCAGGTTTCTGTTCTTTTCTGTTACCAGCTGTCCCAGTAAGCCAAATTCTGCAAATTCCAATCTGGAAGCCAGTATTACTGTTTTGTCAACATGATGGACAGAGTGATCTGAGATTTAGAGCAACTTTGTGATTTTTTTTTTAATCTCTGTGATAGAGGGATGGAATGCTATCCAGACCTAGACAGGCTTGAGAGGTGGGCCCATGCCAACCTCATGAAATTTAACAAGGCCAAGTGCAAGGTCCTGCACCTGGGTAGGGCAATCCCAAGCAGAGATACAGGTTGGGCAGAGAATGGCTTGAGAGCAACTCTGAAGAGAAAGGTGTTCCTACCTATAGCATGGGGGTTGGAACTAGATGATCTTAAAGGTCCCTTCCAACCCAAACCATTGTATGGCTCTATGATTTAAAATGACTTGGCATGTTCAGTGAAAACACAAAATCTGGACAAGAAAAAACAAAAGCACAGTACTCACGCTTTTTCAGAAGGACTATATCTATAGTTTAGTAAAGTGCTGACACTTTTCAGTATCCAACAGATCACATTGAGGGGCAATACAAATATTTTGTAGCTTCCTTGGAGCCCTGTCACGTGCAAATTTGCACCTTGCAAGATTTGGGCAGCACGGTTATCTCACATCTGAAAAATTACAGTGTCATCACCTGTGATGTCACATAACTACACTGTTTTAAGGAAAAAAAATATTTTGCTGTAATAAGTTTAACTCGAATAGAAAATCTTTCTAGCACATGCATAGATTCTGGCATCCAGGAAGATTTGCTTTGCAAATATCACATACCAGCTCATCTGATTTAGAGAATTTAGAGAGCATCAGAGAATCGCTTTGCAAGAGTACCAAGCTGAGCCATGAGCCTACACATACACCTAAGCAGTTTTTTTTGACAGAACAAAACATCAAGCTTTGCAACGCTCAATTGTTCTGTATTCCCTCCCTACTTTACTTCGTTATGACTGCCAGGAAAAAGGTCAGACAAAGGAAATGAAGTATCTCCACTGAGGTCGGGGATGCACTATTCAGTATTTGGGTTAGTTATGTGGGTATTTGTGCTGGAATATTCACGCTGCTGTGCTGGGCAGGGTATCAACAGTTACACAGCACATAGGGTATTTTCCCATCCATTGTTGCAGAGCAAACCCAAGAGCAACCTCAGGCTCATAATACCAGGTTCCCTTGCTAGAAGCTGGAGGTGATAAATTTAAGCTAAGGAAATAACACTTACTCTCTGTCTCTCTTAAGGAACTTGCACAGCTTGGTATCAAAGAGAGTTTAATGAGCTTAGCAATATGTGAAAAGGATTAAGGATACAGCCGTTGATCCAGCAAATCACTTGATTACATCCTTAATTCAATAGGGCTACTCACGTGCTGGAAGTTAAGCATGTGCCTGGGAGCTTTTGCTGGCACTGGTCACTGGTAAGTGCTGCTGTAGGGTTGGGGCATCCTGGGACAGGGACAGGATCTAGATCTGGCCCTGCATTTCTTACTCTTGACCCACACTTGTGAGGGCATAAGGTAGCTGCCCCAACTGCCACTGCTCTGCTGCTCTGAAGCAGCTCCCAGCATACTCCTTGGGCACATAGCTGAGATACTCCATTTGCAGAAAGTTGGGGAATTTGGGTAGTTTAGGCCAGCCTTCATCTTTCTGCAGACCAGCTTTGAAACAGAGCTGGAAGGTAAATGTCACAGGCAGCTCTGCAGAGTCTCAAACCTCCCGTTCTCCTGCCTCATCCAACACTTGCTAGTGCTACTAGGATCCCAGGCCCTAATGCAGCACTGCTCTGTTACTCCTCTGATATTCACATTTGAAACCAGACAATAAAACAACAGCATAGGTTTGGGTTCTTGTACTTCACCAAGGAAGACGTTTGTCATTGTGGGAATAGAGAAAAATGCTGAATGAAGAACACGATAAAAGCACAGACAAGTTGCTGTGGGTGTTTGCAGTCATCCAGCCC